TTAGTATCCACTGTATATTGTGTACGTGTTCCCGTTCAATCTGTCATGACCAGCACCTCCTTCTCTTGAGATAAATATATATATATATATATATCTCAATTCTTTTCTATTTTTTTTATGAATAAAATTTTACGAGCAACGAGGACGAAACGAAACGAGGATGGATCAAGAGCGAACTCGAATTGGTTCTTAATTTTCGCGGCAAATTTTAAATTTTACGTTCGTCCTGTCGATAATATCGGTGAATTATTATGTAACAGAGAGAAAGAGAGGACGAGTTGTGGGACGTATTGGATAACCCTTGTATCGTATATACTAAAGGTACAGGTTCTCGACAATTATTATTATTATTATTATTATTATTATTATTGTTATTATTATTATTATTATTATTGTTTCACATTATTATTAATGTACTTTCGCGTTATTACGTATAATGTAATGGCTTTCGAATTATTTTATTACCTCTGTATTCTGTTTTAACACGCGCATTGGCATTTGTGCGTTTCATCAAATTCATATTGAGACAAAGAGAGAGAGAGAGAGAGAGAGAGAGAGACCCCCTCTCCCCTCGCATAACGTTTATACGCACGATGCAAATAATTTTACCACCGCGTCTCCTTTTGTTGTTTTGTAATTCGTGGTGGAGTAAATCGTGTAAAATGAAACGTCGTGTCGTCTCCTCCTCTGTCGTATTCGAATAATTGATCGAATAATTTTTTAAATAAAAAACCGCATATATATAAACCGACGAATATAATACGAAGGGGAAGAAAGATTGGAATTTAATTGAATTCCAACGTGGCCAGACGCCGCCGCCTATGCAAGATTTTCTAGCAGTTGAAGAATCAAGAATCACAGCGTAGGCGGGAATTAATGTAACAGTTGGCGCGCAAGAACAGTTTCGAGCCCAGGAATGCTCTGCCCGTGCAACAATATAAGCAAGAGATTTAATAGCGAGGTATGTCGGCCGAAATGGAAGGATGACTCGAAATCACGAAACACAGGTGGATGGTGGACAACCATCATCACGGTTTCGGGATGATGTGGTGTTGATAGATCGATTTATCGTGTCCCTCTTATTCGACGATGTTGTTCGGCGTCGGAAAATACGAGCGAGTACAATGGAGAGCGCAGCATTGAAACGGATGGAAATCGTATATAATTCCTCGGCAACGCATTAATTATGGCAATTAGTCAAAAGATTCGACCGAGACGGAGATTGATATATTGCGCACCCGAGATTATCCGAACTATTATCGCCTCTTTTTTTTCTCCATTAAATTATTTTATCAGAAAGGGTACGATACTTTCCTTCTTTTTTTTTATTAATAAACTTTTAACATTTCGATAAGAGGGAGGAATATATATATATATATAAATTTTAATTGAATACGAAGATAATTTTCTTCGTTGTTAAATTGAATTAAAATTTCTTCAAATCGGATTAAGATTAACCGGATGTTGGAACAGTCGGAATATTCAATCAGCTGTTAACACGTTAACAACACAAATTCAAAAGATGAATTCATCGACGACAATCGTGTCGTGAGGCTTGATAAAGAAAAAAAAAAAAAGAAAGAAAAGAAGAGAAAAAAATCTACCTAAAAGGTTATTACCGGCTTCGAGGAATAGCCGTGCTATTTCTATGTTAAGAAGCCCTCCCTCCCTCTTCCTCCTTTCCTCCCCTCCTCTCTCTCTCTCTCTTGAAAAGAGATCTTACTAAGAAAGCAAATGCGCCCATGAATAATGGAACGCGTACATTGTCTCCCGCCTCTTCTTTCGTTGCATCTATGCTCTCCACTCATTGCTTATCTTGGTGTTGCGTTGCTCAACTGTTTGGTAATCGATGCCAAATATATATATATATATATATATACACACGTCTCTCTGTATTTCTTGTACCGTCGATTTCCGATCTTTCCATGTCTCTCTCTCGATAACCTTAAATTTTTATCAAAAATTTCGATGAAAAATTCACCACGTATTTATTTATCACGCGTCGAACGAAAGGAAATTTTATCGTCTCATATTATAGAAAGATTCATATGATAAATTTGCTATTTTCATAAAAAAAATAAATAAATAATAATATTCGTTAAAAATCGATGGAAAAATGATCGATCGAACGGAGGTACGATGGAATCCACAAATCAAATTTATTCGATCTACGAGGCGGCACGGCTCGAAAGAATGGATAGATACGGTGTGATCGTGGCCTGATATTCGAATAAAAATCGAACGTTCTCCGCCGTCTATCGAATCAAAATAAGTAATGTTGATATAAAATTGGATCACCTCCTCCTATTGGATCAAAAAATTAGTAGAATTTAATTAGTAATTTGTAAATTAGTAATTTGTAATTTTAAATTAATAGAATAGAAAATAGTAGAAATTAGAAGTATTGAAATTTCGATCAAATAGTAATATTGTAATATCACCTGCCAATACTGGTAGAGATATAATTAATAAAATTGCTGTATAATAAAAACTGATCATGGAAATGATGAAATTTGATCATAATTTAATGAAAAATTTTTTATTATTATAATTGTAACTATTAAACTCCTATGATCCTGTAATTGATGAAATTCCTGATATACGAGGAGAAAAAAAATATCCTCGCAAAGTTGGCGGCGCAGCATCGTCGACGCGTGGATCCCCATCGATAATGCGTCACTCCTGTGATGACGATGTATGCGATACGCGCGGCCACGTATAAATAATGCATCATCCAGCTCGAGAAGGGAGACAGGCCACAAATATCCATGAAACTTCGATGCCAACGATGACCTCGTGCCCTCTGTTGAATCGACTGGTAGTCATCGACACGACGGACCTCTACGTACACACACGCGCGCGCGCGTGTGTGTGTCTGTCCGTGCTGCTTCTGTCCCTCTTGCATGGAATTAAAATGTCGAGGTGAGGAGCGTGGCGCAGTCCCTTTGTAAACACGCGATCGAGAGTTCGTTTGGTGGAACGATCATTGTCGTTTGAACTTTTTGATTCGTGTATAGGAATGGATGATACGTGGATTCACTTGGAGTGATGGTGTTTCGAGAGTGAGTTTTCTTTCCAAGTTTTTCTTCCCGGTTTAATCGAAGAGAAGATTTGAGGTTAGGAAACGCGTAGATTCGCGTAGATTGCGTTTAGAAATTTCGTTTAAGTAAGTAAATGTAGATGTACGCGATAGTAGGTTGATTATTTTGTGTATTATTTCGAAGAAATTGTTTTCAATATTCGTTTTCTATATTTTAGTTTTGTTATGTGTATATCGATAGAATTTTTTCAATCGTATTGCGTTACATTTATATATTCGACAAATATTTTTCTCGCGAGAAAGTTTAAAAGTTGCCTTTTTAAAAGTGAGATTTCGAATTAAATTTCTCGCGATAAGAAGACGGCTCTTTCCACAGTTCGATCATTTATTTTTAACGAAGATCGATTTTCTCGCACGTGGATCGATCTAACAAATTAACTCGATGTGTGGAGATTGAAAACGAACGATGATCGATTTATCGATGTTTTTCAATGCGTGGGATGTGGACTATTATTCCTTATTCCCGTTATTTATTAAAACGCGTTTTATTCATTACGTCCTAGCGTTTTGTATCAAAATTAAATTTTCGAAGTGAATCAATATCGAATTTCAATCCAGGAGAGATTAAAAGTGTGTGAATGAAGGTGATTGTGAACGAGGGAGGGAAATTTTTCTAGATTTTTTTTTTTTTTTTGAAAAAATTTTCAACTCTTATTTAACGTTATTATACTTTCTCTAGATTTTCGACATTGAGAAACAAGAATGAGTAATTTGTTTGGGTAGCGCGACACGGTTGTTGCGACGGCGTTTATCGGTTGGTGAGTCACCGACTTGGCCACAGAATTGGAAATTATTCACATGATAATGATACGATTAATATATAAATCATCTACGTGGCTAAGAAAAATTAAATAGTGATAATATAATGGTTGATTGGAAATTATCGTGATATGATATTCAATATTATTATCTGTTTATATTTTTTTTTAAATTTTACTTTTTCCAAAAATGAAATTAATAAAAATAGAATTAAAAATATGAAATTTTTTTTTAACGTATATCATTATACAAATGTATGTAAAATATACTATTATATTCCTATTATATTTATTTTTATACGATAATTTGTAATTTCCATACAGATAAGTAATTTTAAAATGTTCTATTGTATTATCGTATTATTATTATAGATTGTCCACAAGTGATAATTTTTTATCCCATTTTTTCCACGTCTATTACTACTGAAAAATAATTTAATAATAATAATAATAATAATAATAATAATAATGATAATACATTACCTAAGATGTTAATAATAAAAATACTTCACAAGGGGCAAAAAATAATCGTTGAATTAAAAATTTGCATTTCATATAACGAATATGCATTAAAATTATTTATGCAACATGATAAATATGCGCCGCATTTTAATCGCCAAGTTATACGATGCAATTTTTATGTTCTATAATAAAATATTTTATTCGCGTTTGCAGTGTACAAAGGTATCAAGAATTATATATTTACATTTACTAGAAACGAATATGCTTATTCTATAGACTGCGGTATAGTAGACCGAAAAAAAAAAAAAAAAAAAAAAAAAAANAAAAAAAAAAAAAAAAAAAAGGAAGGAAAAAGATAAATTTACATTGTATGAGATAATCGCTTTGTGTCACTTTTAAATAATTCAGAAGCCCGATGGAAGATCAACACGCAGTAGTTCGGTTATTCTAAAGACTTGTTTCTTACTGAAATACTGAAAAGGTAACAAATAATTGAATTGGAAACGGTGGATTCCGTTATTTCTCACATTTTTTTTCTCATATTATTATTATTATTATTATTATTATTATTATTATTATTATTATTATTATTATTATATTTCGCAATGTGTAGAGATTTGAAAAAGGATGAGCATGATGAAGAAATTAAGGAAGAATAAAAAAAACGTATTCAAAATGTTCGGTATACGTTTCAAATTTTAATTATCTTCGACGATACGTAATTTCGTTCGAAAGAGAATAAATAAAAAATGGAAAAGAGGAGCATCGTTGCAATCACCCATCCATGATAATTTTCTTCTTGTAAATCTTCTTGTGATCTAATAAAAAAAAAAAAAAAAAAAAAAAAAGAATCACGCCAAACTTCCAAATCTCTTCCAAAAAAATTCTCCATTATTTCGCGTTACACGTTAAACGAACTTTCCAACCTCGAAACAGTAAAAGAACGTTAAATACATAATAATCTTAAAAATATCGAAATGCTCGATGATAAGTATATTCCATACTTAAGGAGTACGATTACGAGAGTTGATGAAGAGCGAGATCACGCTGCACTTCGTCCACTTCTACCACGCCAATGCGCGCCTAGTTTAAAGTTTCCTCTTTTTCTTTGGACTCGCGCAGCACTTGCACATCTTATGCATATTCCGCGATGCACGAAGTCACGTGTGCACAAGTCTCTGGCCTGTCGTGCGATCTTCTGTTGGCTCGGACAGCAATCGTGCTGTTTTCTTCGGATGATGCGGCGCGGTGGTCTTAAATACGAGGAGCATATTAAGTTAGAACACGATGTGATCTAATCTTATAAATTGTCGGGGAGTCGGAGGAGTGGAAGGGAGGCGAAGCTTTGAGAGAACGTGGACGCGATGCTTCAAAGTAAATCGCTCGTCGTGAAATACGTTTGATCGTATATATGATCAAATATATATATATATATATAGATTATTGATGAACAGATTTAGTATATTTGATATCGTCGAATTATGACATTAGCCGGGTAAATAACACGCTTCGAAAAGGTTTCGAACAATAAGCTGGGATAGGGTGTAATTAAATTTAGTGAAAAGTTAAAAGGATTGAGTGGAATCTTTTCACTCTATTTCTTATTTTTCACTTGCACTTCTTTTTGAAGTTTTGAAAATTTTTCAAATCGGTCGTTCGTTATTTAAAGAAATGTTTATAATGAATATTACTTTATCGATGTCTTATGCTCGTTAGAATTATTTAATTGTAAAAAAAATCTTAGGTTGAAAAAATATTTACGTAATATCTTAATTTACGTAAAAATCGCAAAAAAAGTTAAAGGCAGCAAATATGTAGTATTTCTTTCCTTTTTTAATTAACATTTTATTAAGCATTTTGCGATTGAATTTCAATATTCGTGATAACGTTAGATATTGAATATTTTAAAACTGATGTATAAATTGTAATTAATTTATTCAAGTAATAATAGAAATAAATCGATACGAATCTATTATGTTTAACATTAGGTGATATAATTTAATTTGAAATACTATTCGATTTTTTAATAGGCAAAAGAGGATTTTGTATAATTTAAATCTAAAATTTTATATATATTTCGTATGAATACTCGTAAAATAAGCTAATTATATTCAATTTATATTACTCATGACTTCATCGATATGCTTATCATATTGATTTTATATCATTAAACGATATTACCTTATTTCCTTATCAACAATTTTTTCCAATTTATCGTTCTTAGAATTCTAATCACTGTTTATTTGATATCGCAACATCAAAGTGTTATAATTAAATCAAATTTAAAAATAAAATTTCAATAGAGATAAAAAAAAAAAATAAAAATTATTTCATCACTTCTATAAGTAAATTCAACGATAGTAGTCGTCTTGTATTTGAATTTCTAGTGGAAACACGCAAGACTGTCAAAAATGATCACAGAAAGCATATGTCATTCCAAATAAGATACAGAGTCTAAAAACCCTGCCAAATTATTCGAATGAAAGAGGGAAGTTAAACGTAAGATTTCCATGCTCACGTAAAGCTCATAAGCGGAAATTGAATGTTTGATGCACGAAACCAGGAAGAGGGAGGGGATGGGGCTAGAAGGCGGTAAGAATAAAGAAGAAGGCGAGAAGACGGAAGGTGGGAAGAGAAGGCAAAGTGCGAGTGGGATAGACGAGCTCGAACAAAAACAGAAGAGAGGGGAGGCGGTTGGCGCGACGTATTGGGAGGAGAGGGATAGAAGACAGTCGTGAGTGCACGAAGAAGCACGAAGTGACGAGTGGCGGTGGAAGCTTGAGGCGAACGCCGGTTCTCTCACTTGTTGAGTGTCGAGCGACGAACTGAGTCCTACCGTTCGGTCAAACGGCGACAACGGTAGAGACAACGGTCGCGTGTTTTCTCGTGTGCAACGTATACAGCGTGTGATTGCTCGCGAACCACACGCGGTGCACGCGAGAACGTGATAGACGCGCGCGTGTCCGACATTTTTTAGATCGTGTGCGCGGGTGAAAACATATATGCGCGCGCAGGCGTCGTGCGCTGTCTCTCGTCGTGCGATAATTCGATCGATCGATTTGTGTCGTGGGCATAACTTCGATTAGAAACGAAGAATTTTATGGAGGAAAGTGAATTGTGCAATACACGAGGATCGTCGTTGCGAGTCGCGTGCCTTATCATCGTCATTCAGAGGCACGACGAGCAAAAGTTTCTGGAACAGCGGACGGCATCTATTTTCGAGTACTCGAGTCACAGTATCTTCGCACCGACAGCTTGTCCACCACCATTATTCCGGCGTATTTGTTCTAGATTAAAGTGCACGCGATCGGTCGACGTTAAATCCAACCGAATACGCCGGAACTATGCACGATCGATCGTTACCCTGAATCGTCGTAGAATCGATGGAAGAAACGTTGTTTTCGTTCGTGGAGATCGTCTTATTTTCATTGGCGATACGATCGACCGGACAGGTCGATACGTCGCCGGTGTTAGGAACAAGTCTCGTCACCGTTACCATCGCCAATCATTGTTACGATTATTCTACTGGCGTATTGCATAAGCATTGCCGGAGTGATTACGTAAGACAGGTTCGTTTGTGGAAAATAATCGCAAAATCGGATACAGGACATGTATTACGTTGTTATGTGTGACAGTCATAATAGAAATGCGTAGAAGTGTATAATTCATTCAAAGGAAATTACGGATCGTTACTCAATAATTATTGTTCGATCGATTATATTCCTGTGTTATTTTATTTTCAAAAAAAAAAAAAAAGAAAAGGATATGTTCATTTTTAATCACGTGCCAATGTGCAGAAGAAGTGTATAAATTGGAAACAAAACATTATTGTCGCGTAAAATTGACCGTTTCCTTGTTGTCTTTGGTTCAAGTGTTTATACAATGTTATTTATAAAGTTTAGTTTCCGTGAAATTTGAGTGATACATCTGTTACGAGGCGAATTTAGCTAAGATTGTGCGCGAGCCTTTTTCAAATCTCCCGCGCACAGTGCACGTGTTGGAAATATCGACAATGGCGATGAAGAGTAAGAAACAGTATACCGGGCCAAGCCTCGGATCGAAAAGTCATTATCCTGCAATCAGTCAAGCTTATTGGGCACCACAGCCACAAAATACACCTTATTCCGTCCCAGGTATTGTAATGCTTTCAATTAAAATGTCAAAATACATGTTGAAAGATGATTTAGTTTATAGAGGAAGAAACGTGCGAATAAATATTTCAAAATGATATTATTATAATAATCGATTCTTATTCTTTGAAATTTACGATTTTTATATGTCCTATACCTACAATGTTGTGTAATGCCTTTCTATAAAAAAGTTTTACATATTTTATATATTTAGAAATATGTGAATTTCTATGAATGAATAATCTCGCGTTCATTAAAAAATATCAATACAAATTACTTTTTTTTCCTCTTATACTTTTTATTTTAAACATATCGGTATTTTTTTATAAAGTAATAACATTTTAATAAAGTAATATAATATAATATTATATAGAATTATATAAAATTGCTTGTATTGCTTTTTCTATAAAAAAAAAAAAATTTTCAAATAAACGTAAAATTGAACAAAACAGCTTACATGCAAATTATAAAATTAATTCTGAAGAAGATCTTGTGTGAATTATGATTCAGTAATTAAATCTTTTTTTCATAATAAATTACTTCCTTTCGAGTAACGTTGCATACTAATGAGATATTTGAGAGCATACTACAATATTTAATACACGCATGACCATCTCTTTAATTTTAATTAATTTTTTCAAATATATAATATGAATATTACGAAAAAAATTTTTAATTACAACAACAATATTAATTTAAATTATTAATAAAATAATACGGGAAGAGAAGAAATTTCAATACCACCAATTCGAATTTTAAGCACTGCCGATATTATTGTATCGAGTTTATGAAGAGTCCTTGAAATCGATTTTACAAATTCAATCGTTCGGGAAACTCGCAAAATGTACATTGTCATAATGAATAATCACTTTATACGCGTCTATTCCTATTTTTTATTCCATTAGTGACCGATTTTTATCATCGGTGACGCATTATAATTTTAATTTATTCGTTTTTTTTTTTTTATACGTATATCTACATATTTTCACGTGTCATCATCCAATCGATAATTTATAATGTTGAATTTATAATATTGAAATAAGCAGAAGAAATATTTCTTTATTCTCTGATCCTCGTATTCAATACTTCTTTATCTTCTAATGTTATATATATATATAATAACATAACATATACTTAAGTTATTAAAAATAATTTAAGTATCGCTCGTTAAATTACCATAAAAGAGAGAAAAAAAAACTGCAGATATCCGTAATGTAAAACTAGAATTTAGAATCTAAATGAAAATTTCTCCTTGATCCAATCGCAACAAATTAATCCGCACTGGTTAAGAAATTAGCCCAGTGAAGAAAAGGGTTAATGACGTAAAATAATCGTTAACGCGGTACTCTTCCATCGGGTAAATGGTAATTACCTGCAAACAGATGCAGTTAAACGGTAATATATTGCTCTGGAATAAAGCTATAAACCAACCACTATCGGGATCTTACAACTGCCATAACGTACACTCGGCTGGAAAATATAATTTATTTATCCTCTTAAGGCGCCATTAGTGATATTACACTTTAACATGAAAAGTCATAATGTTTCTATTATCTGTTTCTGTTATCGTGTGAAGAAATTTACAAATTGATTCGATCAAATTGTATTGTCAATCATAAAAAGACTTTGTTTATATTACTTGAGTTGAAATAACAATTTTTATTTTATCAAATTCTCGTTCTATTTGGGATAAACTTCGGGAGTGTAAAGCATATTGGATTCTACATATGGATTAATTTTTTTTCCCCTCTTTTTTTTTTTTTTTTAGATATAATTTTCTAATGGTATAAAATACTTTTTGGTATAACTTTTTAGTATTCTATTATACAATTAAGAAATATTCTTGGGCAAAATTGAATATTCACGAGATGAAAATTTGAAAAAGAATTCATAAAGAATCATTTCATAATAGAAGATGCTTGTAACATTTCTTGTAATTTTCTTATAAGATATAAAACTTTTCCAACTGACTGTATACACGTGATGAGGGAATCGCATCGAAGATGATGACGCTATGAATGCTCGTATCGTGAGTAGTCCGTAATAATTGAATAAATATGTTAATAAATATGTTTCTAC